CGTCTTTGTTGCCTTACCTCCAGAGGTTTCCTCACTTAGACGGAGCAAACGTACCCTTCTTCATCGGAGCTGCGACGCCGACTGCTCCCCAGTTGGAAAATCACCATCAGTTGACACCCACGTTGTTCGATGGCAGCTGGCAACTCTGCTACGCCGACGGTAGCCATCACTCAGATCAGAAGGGTAAAGGAAAGAACTGATGATCGAGTTCTCAGAAAGCACATTTCTTCCAGCCCATTTCCAGGTATTTCAAAAAGCCCCCCGATGATTTCCTATTTCACATTTTAATTAAAGTTCGTTGCCTATGTTCCTGTTCATGTTCCTGTCTGGTTTATTTCTTCGTTCATCCACACGGTTTCCTTATTACTGGATTTCTCGACATTTTGGATCCATGTGTTGCTGTGCTGTGCTGTGTTGTGTCTGATCTTGTTTTGATGGTCACAAGAACATGAATTATTGGACATACATTTGTAGGTCTCATATATTTTATTGGTTGCGTTTTTGTCAATATATATTATTATGAATATTAGGATTCCTGCATGGATTGGTGTGAGGGTTGTTGTCCCCCACTGGCCACTCCCCATCGTGTTGTCTTGTTGGTTCCCTTCTCTCTAGCATCATACGTTTATGTTTATGTTTATGTTTATATGTCCATGACAGGTGTTAGAAGCTCCTTCTAACTAAGCCATGCCATGTGTTTGCCACTGAGTGAAAGAAACGCACTTTCACAAAAGGGGACAACTTTTCACTGTTTTCCTCTTCTTTTAATTGCTGTTTCAGTAGCAGCAGCTATAGTCTTTAACTAGCTAGGGTTTCATAGGGTTTGGTGAAATCCCCAGTGGCTAACTAGATTCCTGTTAATTAGAGTTCAACCAACTGAAACGAGAGTAACTATTGCTTTGCCTTGCCCTAAGGCCTATAAATATAGTATTTACCTAATCCAGACTTAAATTTGTAAATTTAGTATTTAACTGTATTCTGGCGTTGTGATTAATGAAATACGTTAATCATATCTTTAAATTTTTAAATTTCTTCTCAAGTACCATATATTTTATTTTCAATCTCAATTTATTGACCTAGGCTGTTATTTTTAGATCATATACGTAGTTCATACTACTACATAATGTGCTTAAAATTATTTTTAAAATATAGGGAACACAATTTGCTTATTTGGTAGATGAGAGTGTAATTTGAATGTGCCTGATAAGTAAATCAGTCAAATTTGAAGCCCTTTTATGCCCTTGGGTTCTTTTAAGACCCTAATCTCACAAGAGTGTACATGGTATTGTTAAAAGTGGGAAAGCCCTATAAATGGCCAAAATAATATATCTATTTATAAAGAAAAGGATTAAAAGTGAGTTTGAGATGGTTTTCAAAAATAGTGTTTTAAGCGTCTTTGAGTAGTTTTGAAAAATAATACTAATCTAAAAGTGTTTTAAAATAATTTAGAACTACTTTAATTTTAAAAAAAATTAAATTACTTTAATCATATAGGCAGATGTCGTCTGAACATTGCTTTTAATTAGTTAAAAAGTTTTATCACTGTTTCAAAAGTTTTGTACTAAATTGGAGCAATTTGAGCGACCTTTTTGGATTTAGTAATAGGGGGTGACAAAATGTAGCTTAAAGATTCATCTTTGCCATTGTTTTGTCTAGAACCTGAATGAATGCAAAGTGCATGAACACAGCTAGAAACGTAGAAGTATAGCTTTATTAGCAGGATTCATGTTATGGAGTTGATTGTAGGGTTGGACAAAATCAATTCATATCTTAGATAAGTAAAGGTCATATGCTCATACATGATTCTTCTCTGATAGAGGCAAAGTACTATACTATTTGCTGGTACCTATCATTTATGGCAAAGTCGAACGCCATCATGGGTGGTTCATTGGTCCAAAAGAGTTAGAGTTAATTAAGAAGGAATGGATTCAAATCTCATGATGATGGCGTTCATTGGTCCAAAAGAGCAAGAGTTAATTAAGAAGGAATGGGTTCAAATCTCATGATGGCCACCTACTTAATTCCTAAGGGGTTGCATCTTTTTTTTATTTTTTATTTTCATAAGAATCCCCACCTTCATTGAGAAATATGAAAAGAACAACAAGAAGGGGATACAAAAAATAGCCCAAAAGAGGACACCCATTCAAGAAAAGGGGTCCAATCCAAAAGAATAACATGTAACGGATAATTACAAAAGGCTTTAGAGATCACCAAAGTC